AACCCCTGCCTCTCAGGTTCAAGCGATTCTTCTGTCTCAGCCTCCCAAGTAGCTGGGACTACAGGCTTGTGCCACCACACCTGGCTAATTTTTGTATTTTTAGTAGTAACGGGGTTTCACCATATTGGCCAGGCTGGTCTCAAACTCCTGACCTCGTGATCCGTCCTCTTCAGCCTCCCAAAGTGCTGGGATTACAGGCGGCCACTGAGAGTTTTTTATCATGGGTGTTGTATTTTGTCAAATGTGGTTTCTGCATCTATTGATATAATCATGTGATTTTTCTTCTTTAGCCTGTTGATGTGATAAATTATATATCTAAATGAGTTTCGAATATTAAACTAGCCTTGCATACCTGGGATAAATCCTTCTTGGTCTTGGCGTATAATTCTTTGTTTACATTCTTAGATTCTACTTGCTTGTATTTTGTTGAAGAATTTTGCATCTATGTTCATGAGAGATATTGGTCCCATAGTTTTCTTTTCTTATAATAGGTTTGTGTGATTTAGTGTTAGGGTAATGCTGGCCTCATAGGATAAGTTAGGAAGTATTCTCTCTGCTTCTATTTTCTGGAAGAAACTGTAGAATATTGATATAATTTCTTTCTTGAATATTTGGTAGAATTCACCAGTGAACCTATCTGGGCCTGATGCTTCCTGTTTTAAAAGGTTATTAATTATTGATTTGGTTTCTTTAATACAGATAGACCTGTTCAGATTGTCTTGTTGTTGTTGTTGTTTTTTGTTTGTTTGTTTGTTTTTGTTTTTCCTGAGACAGGGTGTCACTCTGTCACCCATGCTGGAGTACAGTGGTGCCATCACTGCTCACTGCAGCCTTGACATCCTGTGCTCAAGCAATTCTCCCACCTCTACCTCCTAAGTAACCGGGACAACAGGCACACAACAACACATCCATCAACTTTTTTATGTTTTGTAGAGACAGGGTCTCACTATGTTGCCCAGGCTGGTCTCAAATTCCTGGCCTCAACATATTCTCCCACCTCAGCCTCCCAAAGTGCTGGGATTACATGCATGAGCCACCATGTCCCAGCACAGATTGTCTATTTCTTCTTGAATGAGTTTTGACAGAATGCGCATTTCAAGGACTTGTTCCATTTCACCTAGGTTATCAGATTTGTGACCATAGAGTTTTTCATAATATTCATTTATGATCCTTTCAATATCCGTAAAAGGACATTAGTGATGTCACCCCTTTCATTTTTCATATTAGTAATTTGTGCCTTCTCTCTTTTTTCTTAGCCTGGCTGGAGACTTATGAGTTTCACCTACCTTGAAATAACCAACTTTTGATTTTGCTGATTTTCTCTACTGATTTCCTGTTTTCAGTTTCATTGAGATCTGTTCTAATTTTTATTATTTACTTTCTTCTGTTTACTTTGGATTTAATTTACTCTTTTTTCTACTTTCCTAAAGAGGAGACTTAGATCACTGATCTTCAATATTTCTTCTTTTTTAATGTAGAGGCCAATAATAACTTCAGTTCATTCAATGTTATAAATTTCCCTCTAATCACTGCTTTTGCTACATCCCACAGATTTTGATTAGTTGTACGTTCTTTTTCATTAGTTCAAACTATTGTTTAATTTCTCTACATTTCTTCTTTGCATTAGATGTTACTTAGAAGTGTATTGTTCAATCTCCAGGTATTTTGATGGTTTCCAGCTATCTTTCTTTTATTGATTTGTAGTTTAATTCTATTGTTTGTCTGAGAGCAGACAGTATATGATGTCTATTCTTTAAATTTGTTAAGGCGTGTTTCATGACCCAAAATGTGGTATCTTGGTGAATGTTCCAAGTGAGTTTGAGAAGAATCTTTAGTTTTCTGTTATTGGATGAAGTAGTCTATAGATGTCCATTATATCCAGTTGATTGATGATGTTGAGTTTGACTATGTTCTTACTGATTTTCTGCCTGTTCAGTCTGCCAATTCCTGATCAATGAGTGTTGAAGTCTTCAACTGTAGAAGTGGATTCATCTGTTTCTCCTTGCAGTCCTGTCAGTTCTTCCCTCACATATTTCTATGCTCTGTTGTTAGGTGCATATGGTCAGAATTGTCATGTCTTCTTGGAGAATTGACTCCTTTTTCCTTATGTAATGTCCTTCTTTATCTGTGGTAACTTTCCTTGTCCTTCAAGTCTGTTCTGTCTGAAATTAATATAGATATTATGGGGGTGTTTTTGCCAAGTGTTAGTATGGTATATGTTTCTCTATCCCTTTAATTTTAATCTAGATGCATCTTGATATTTAGAATGGATTTCTTGTGGACTACATATAGTTGGGTCTGGTTTGTTTTTTATCTACTCTGACAATCTCTTTTATTTTTTTCCTTCCACCTTTTATTATAGGTTCAAGGGGTACATATGAATGTTTATTATTACATGGGTAAATTGCATGTCACGGGAGTTTGGTGTACAGGACATTTTGTCACCAGGTAATAAGCAGAATACCCACTTTTCAATCACCCTCCTCCCAGCCTCCACCCTTAAGGCCCCAGATGTCTGTTGTTCCCTTCTTTGTGTCCATGTGTACTCAATGTTTAGCTCCCACTGATAAGTGAGAACGTGAAGTATTTGGTTCTCTGTTCCTGTGTTAATTTGCTTAGGATGATGGCCTCCAGCTCTATCCATGTTGCTGTGAAGGACATTGACTGAATTCTTTTTTATGACTCTGTGGTATTCCATAGTGTATATGTGCCACATTTTTTTTTTATCCAGTCTATCATTGATGGGCATCTAGGCTGATTCCATATATTTGCTATTGTGAATAGTGCTGCAATGAACATATATCTGCATGTGTCTTCGTGGTAGAATTATTTCTATCGCTTTAGGTATACACCCAGTAATGGAATTGCTGGGTTGAATGGTAGTTCTGCTTTAAGTTCTTTGATAAATCTCCAGTCAGTTTTCCACAGTGGCTAAACTAATTTATGCTCTAACCAGCAGTGTATAAGCATTCTCTTTTCTCCACAGCCTCCCCAGCATCTGTTATTTTTCCCTTTTATTAGTAGTCATTCTGACTGGTGTAAGATGGTATCTCATCGTGGTTTTGATTTGATTATTGATATTTAGTATTTTTTCCTATGCTTGTTGCCTGTGCAGGTGTCTTTTGAGAAGTATCTGTTCATGTCCTTTGCCCATTTTTAATGGGGTTGTTTTTTGCTTGCCGATTTGTTTAAGTTCCTTATAAATTCTAGACATTAGACTTTTATTAGATGTATAAGTTGTAAACATTTTCTTTCACTCTTTAGGATGTCTGTTTACCCTGATGGTTTCTTTTACTTTGCAGAGTCTCTGTCTTAATTGGTGTATTTAGACCATTGGCATTCAAAATGATTATTGACATAGAGTAATATCTACCGTATCTGTTACTGTTTTTCTATTTGCTGCCTTGTTATTTGTTTCTCTATTTTGTCTCCCACTCTTTCTCTGTCTTTTGTGGTTTTAATTGAACATTTTATATGACCAAAAAATAAATAGTCAGCATATTTCTGCTGCGGTCTGAATATGTTCCCTGAAAATTCACATGTTGAAATGTAATCACCAATATGATAAGAAGTGAGGTGCTTAGAGGGTGATTAAGTCATAATGGTGGAACTCTCATGAATGGATTTGTGCTTTAATGAAATAGGTGAGAGAGGACTATTCATCTTTTCTACCATGCAAGGACACAGCAAGTAAGTACTTACCTTGGAAACAGAAAGTGAGCCCTTACAGAGACCAAATGTGCTATTGCCTTGATCTTGGACTTCCCAGCCTCCAGAACTCTGAAAAATAAATTTTTATTATTTATAAATTATGCAGTCTGAGGTATTTTGTTATGGCAGCCCAAGTGCACTAAGACAACTTCTATTTAAAAAAAAAAATACTTTTCTTCTTATTTTTTTTACTTGTCTTAGTGTTTTCCCTAGATTTGCAATATGCATCTACAACTAATGCAAGTCCATTTTCAAATACTATATACTACTTCATGGGTTGTACAAAGTATTTTATAATAACAAAATAATCCTCATTCCTGCCTCCTGCCTCTTATATCACTGCTGTCATTCATTTTACTTATACATAAGCATAATTAAGTATATATATTTCTGTGGATATATACATACATACATGAATACATATAAGAAAAATAAAAGTTTCTATTCTATCTTCACTCATTCCTTCTTCAGTGCTCTCTGTTTCTTTACATAGATCCAAGTTTCTGACATATGTTTTTCTTTCTCTCTGAAGAGCTTCTTTCAATATTTCTTATAAGGCACATGTACCGACAATAAATTCTCTCAATTTTTGTTTGTCTGAGAAAGCCTGTATTTCTTCTTCACAGAGGGCTGTGGATGGGTCCCCTGCATGACAGGGTGAGGCCAGACCAGAGCAAGCCAGAAGATGCCATGGTCCTTCTCATAAGCAGGTGCCCCTCTCAAGCTGCCAGCTGGGTGGCTGCACACCAGAGTTCCAAATACAAGCATGTTTTCTGGGAGGGAACACAAGGCAGACAACCTCCCTCCTCGAGCAGCTGCCCAGGCCCTAAGCCCTGGAGTCCTGGCTCAGGCTGTTACTGACCATTCCTGTGATCCTGGGCAAGAGGCCTACCTGCAGGGGAGGAGGTGCTGAACTAGCACACTTGTGAGTAAATCAGGTGGCCCAGACAGGTCTGCAACTCCAGGCCTCTCCAGGCAAAAGGTAAGAGTGTTGGCTTGTGCAGCTCCTGTGACCCACATGAGGCCTTACATTGGGGCCTTGCCATGAGCAGGCAGTCCTGGGAGCACCACACTTCTTCCAGGGCCTGAGGTTTGGAGAAGATGGCTGCTCACTCCTTGCTGATCACTCTGCAAAGCTATCATCTGCATCCTGCCGCTGTAATAGCTCTTCTCTCAAGGTCATCCTTTCAGCCTGCAAAATGCAAAGGCTCCAAGCCTGTGTCCTGGTCAGGGCGGGGTCCAGTCTTGGACTCATACTCACCCCAGCCCATAGTTAGTCTGCAAGGGGACAAAATGGAGAGAGGGCCAGGACACCTGCCTAACCCCCAGGACCTCTTTGGTTGGCCAGCTGAGGTCATTGAATCGCTGCCGGGAAGGCCAGCTCTCCTCTCTACCTCCCATTCTGGCAGCACTTCACAGTTTACAAAGGAAGCTTCTCCACTCCCAGGAGTGTAACTGACCTCATAACTTCCTTAGAGAGGAGGGAAGCTGCTTGCCCACGGCCATACCACAATAAGGAACAGGCAGGGACAGGGACTCACATCTCCTGTCTCTTGGAGCGCAGTGTAGCTTACACATCTGCCCTCCCTCCCACCCCACTTGTGGGCAGTTCTCAGGCTGCCTTAGGTGGCCAGGAAGCCCACCTGCCTCTTCCCATAGTCTTGGCAGGGCCACCACATCCTGGGGTCAACACTCGAATTTGGCAGGCACTGTGCAATGCTGCTTTAATTAGGAGGCAGATGAGATGGAGGCTGCCGGCCCCTCCTTTCTGTTCTGCAGCTCCTCCCTGTTCCAGCTCAGCCCAAGGCAGAGCCTGGCCGGTTGGCCATTGGCCTCCAGGCTGGCAGTGTGGGGAGGAGGGGAAATCAGGCTTGGCTCCTGGGCTGGCCAGCCAGAGGCCAAGGACCGCAGAGCTGCTCACGTCCGCACATTTCTAAGCAGCCACATCCCCTGACCTGCTTCCAAGAGCCAAGGCCCCCGCCCCTCCACTGGGGACAGCCGCCTTCTGGGGACAGCCGCCTTCTGTGCTCAGCCAGAGGTGGCCCAAGAATTCTGGCTGGCTTAGCCTCGTGCCCCGACCTCAGCAGAGAAGCATGCAGAAGGCCACATCTGCCAAGCCCTCCAGGGCCCTGCCCTGCCCCAGGCGTGCATAGTTAGAGAGCATGCACGTTCAAATCCTGACCCCTGGACACTGCTGCCCCATCTGAGCTCCTGCTACCCCCAATCCCTCCAGGACCCTAGGGAAAGAGGCTTACCCTCCCTCTCCAGCCTCAGAGCCATTCCCCACTCCGTGCCTCTTTCTTCCTTAGTGCCTGAGTTAGGCGCATGCCTGTCACCACCCACACTGACCTGCATGCCCCATGAGGGGCCACTCGCATGATTTATGTTCATTTTCTCTTCCTCTTTATTTCCATGGATGTCCTTGAACACACATGCATCCTCAAAACTGTCTAGTAGCCAAAACTGGGAAGAATGGATGACCATGAGTTCTATCCCAGCAGTCTCAAAGGCCTCAGGAGGGCCCCACTCCCAGGAGCCATGGGATTTGGGGCTCATGGCCATCATATCTAGACCCCAGGACAGGAAGGTGCTCCAATACTGGAAGGTGCCCCAAAACCCAGGAATGCTGCAGCAGGTGCAGGTGCTGTTGGGATGTTGCTCACCAAGTCCCAGCCACAGGCTAAGGGAGAAATGCCCTCCGCCCTGGGTTGTCTGTGCTGTTTCTGAGTCCAGCTCTGGCTTGAACACATGAATCACACATCACGTCCCTGACCGGATTCCCCGTAGCCACCCTCAAGCAGCCATCTCTCCTGAGAGTGCAGGGCACCCCCTGGGTTCCATCCCATTATCCCGCCCTTGCTTCTTGCTTGTGAGGGTTCTCACCATGTATGTCTGTGTGTCTGTCTTTGTCCCATGCTGTGGGTTTTGTAGACCACCCTGGGCACCCTCCAGCTGTGTTTGATAGATCCTCTCAGCAAGCCTAATGCTTTGCACTGTCCCAGTGGCGCCCTTTCCACCAGCCTGAATGTGCCAGGGGGCGTCCCACCATGTCCAACCAAATTAATGAACAAGTGAACAGACCATGGTGTGAGCCTGAAAAGTGGTGGGGGCAGCCTCTGGCCAGAAGGTCCCTCCCAGCAGTCTTGGAGAGTGGGCACCTCCTCCAGGCCCAGGGCCTCCCTCCCTGGCAGCTGAGGCCACCTGCACTGCTTTAGCTAATTCAGTAAACCCTAAGGGAGGCCTGAAGGCGGAGCAGTGACCAGAGCAGCCTGCCCTGAGGAGCCCCTCTGGTTTGCCACTGCCTGCCACCAGCCAGCGGCAGCCAGGCTGGAGGAGGCAAGAAGGAGTACGAGCCCAGAGGTGCGGTCAGCAGGGGCTTCATGGAGAATGAGGGACTGAGGCGGGCCTTAGGGTACAGGTGGGGTGTAGACAGTGGATGTGTGGAGTGGAGGAGAAAGGGGAGAAGCTTCCAGTCACAGGCAACTGTGCGTGCTCAGGCCCAGCACAGGGGAAGCTGATGCCACCAGGGAGTGGCCCTGAGTCTATTTAGGGGTGTCTAGATGTGAGAAGAGGAGGCGCAAGTGCTGAGGCTGCAAAGGCAGAAGAGCCCTGGGGAACGGTGCCAGGCCCCCAGCTAGGCTGGGCAACCCAGACTCTCCTTTTGGTATGAGGCTACGTTTCACCCCTGAGCAGCCAGAAAGAGAGCAGAGCCAGGTGCTTTCTCAGACAAGAGATGTTGCTGACCGCCAGCAATGCAGGCCTGGTGCAGAGGGAGGGCTGGGACTGACGGGTGGGGATGGTGGTCGTGATCACAGAGGCCCCAGAAGAGGGTCTGACTGCCCTTGGAGAGAATCAAGTGGAGGTGGAAGAGCAACCAAAGAGAGACCCTGAGAACCCATCATGCAAGGGGCAGAAGGTGGGAGAGACAAAGATGTAATGGGGAGGCCAAAGAAAAAGGCAGGGATGCCGAGCGAAGAGAGGCTCCTGGAGGCAGAAGGGGCAGTGTTTCTGTGGGGCTGCTGAGGGTCCCTGGAGTTTGGAGATTGGAGGTCACTGTGGGCAGTGGGGGCAGCTGATGTCGCAGACAGGGCACACACAGCCATGTGCCTCTCTGTTAGGATGGACAACGGGGCAGAGGAAAGGGAAGGGCTCTGTTTGCCTGCCTGGATAAAAGAGGACAGATCTGCTTGAGATGAGGAGTGAGGCATCAGGGAGGCAGGGAGGCAGGAGGGACCAAGGACAGTTCACGGGGAAGCCCGAGGGCCAGAGCCCGAGGACGGAGGGACGCGCGGTCCAGGTGCCGGGCTGCTGGGAAGCTGGGCCCTCTCCCCTTTGCCCTCACCCAGCTCCACTTCCAGCGATCCATGCCTTCCATGGCTGCAGGGGAGTGCCTGGACACTGCCCCTGCAAGTAGGTGGGGGACACAGGCAAAAGTCGCCTGAGGGAAAGTGCAAGATCAGGCCTGGGACAAGCTGCAGAGCCCCAGGCCCAAGCTCCAGAGCCATTGCCCCAGGGCACGCAGAACCCAGTGTGAGCTCAGATCCTGTGGTCAATCTGTTCACTCATTCACTCGTTGACTCATTCACTGGTCATTTCCCAGCTCAGTCTGCCCATGCACTCGGCCCTATGCTGGGATAAGGCCTTTGAGGAGCCACAGTCTGGTGGACACATAGGCCTGTAACCAAATCCCGGCCGCAGAGGGTGATGCTGCAGGAACCCAGGGTGGCTCAGGGCAGAGCAGGCAGACCATCTGCCAGGAGAGGATGAGGTACTGGAATCTCTTCGGAGAGCTGTGCTCTTGCAATGCCCAAAAGTGAAATTTAGAGAACAATTTTATTTACAAACAGCATCAGATAATAAAATACTTAGTAATAAATGTCATAAGAAAAGTGAAAAACTCAAACCCTGACAACTACAAAACACTGTCGAAAGAAATTCAAGATCTAAATAAATGAAAAGATATCCTGTGTTCATCAATTAGAAGACTTAATATTACGAAGATGAAAAATGTTCCCAGATTGATCTACAGATTTAATGCAATCCCTAACAAAATTCCATGCAGCTTCTTCCA